TACCATTGCCATGCATTATACGACTGATAGACTGCAACGGTTGGAGTTAAAAAGCTCCGTTTGTGTTCTACTGAAGAAACAAAGTCACCTACATCTTGGATGCCCTGGGGGTAAGCAGATAAACATCACATTTTTATTTTTGGGTGAACTATCCCTTTAAGACTGCTTTTGTGCTCCAGGGTCACATATGAGCCATATGTCTATTGTTTACATTGAAAACTGCCAAGATGGCCACAGACTGGACCGACTTGCCTTGAAGAAACTTTGTGCCAAAATGATCCTCATAAGACTATTAGTAAAAGCGAAGGGCCGTCAGAACATCAGGATTTTTCAAAGCGCTCTTACGACAATAATACGGCAGACGTCAGGAGGTTCGGCTGCAAACGTAGCAGGAATTCGTTCCAGCGGCGGTGGAGTTTGCCACACTCGTCAGATGTATTGAGAGGCAGAACTGAAGTCAGACGCACCTGCTGATTAATGTGGATGTCCGTCTGTAATCCCACCGTCTTGACGAGTCTCTGGGGTCCACGGCTTTAACTAATTAATAAGACACCCTTAAAATGAAGAGTCCAAGTTGTGTCCACAGTCACACCTCTCAGACTGACTTGAACACTTTTGAGAGTTTTTTGAAAAATTCCAAATTCCAAAAAAAAGAAAACCTGTAACAGTATCTCGACGATACTAAAAACAGCTTGAAATAACGTTAACTGAAATCAAATGAAAAAATCTTCTTTTCTCATTTTCATTTAGTTTAACTTGAAATAACTCAAACTGAAATAAAAATGAATAAAGACTATAGACATGTCTACAACTAAAATGACAAACACACAATCTAAACCAAAGCAGCCTAACAAGCACCGATGCACAATGAAATCTCCACACATTCCTGCCACTTTGCGCCTGATCTTTGCATCTGTTTAAGAGAGCAAACAGTTTGTCTGAAGGATTCTGTTCGATAACGGTGAGAGATGACAGCAGTCCTTGTGACAAGGTTAAAACTCCTCTTAAGAGCTCGGGCTTCTTGACAGCTTGAGAAAGAAGGTATAAAATGACAGCTTAGAAGGCTCCTTTCACTGATCTAAACCTGTCTGTCTGTCTGTCTGTCTGTCTGTCAGAGCTAATGGCTCAGTCTGTCGATCTGTGCCAATATTACAGCCTGTCACTCTGCACTAATGACAAGAGCTGTTAAACGATACAGCAACCTAAGAAAGTATTTAGACACTCGCATGACACTTAAATGTGTGTGAACGTCATTGCATTAGATAACAAAATATCAAAATCATGTGCCATCTGCTGCAGCTTTTCTCAAAACAAAATATCAAACAGAAGTTATGACATTCAGATATTTGATGCATGACTTTAAGTGTCTGAATACTCAAAATACTCAATATCTTATTTCCAATTCTGTGTCCAATTCAGATCTTTGAAAAAAAATTAAATCAATTGAATAAAATGCTAAAATTTAAAAAAAATTAAATAAAATAAAAACAAAGTAACATAAAATAACAAAATAATACATAAAATAAAAAACAATAAATAAATAAAAATTAATTTAAATAAAAAAGTGACAAAATTTTTTGAAAATAACAAAAAATAAAATGATAAAAAATAAATTAAAATTAAAACAAAATGGCATGACAAAAAATGAAATAAAAATATATAAAATAAAATAAGATTACATTTAAAATAGTAAAATCAAATCAAAACAAACAAATAACAAAATGATAAATAAAATTAATTAAAATAAATAAATAAAAATATAAAATAAAAAATAAAGTGATAAAATAAAGAAGAAAATATATTGTGTATGCTTTGGTTTCTTTTAGCATTAACAGCCCTAAGCACATGTTTGCGCGCAGCTTTATTTATTGCAATGCTGCTCGACCACACGCCGTCCAGGGAAAGCAGCTCACCATATGTTTGCATGTGCTCTGCGGTGCTTAATGGCGTTTTCTCTTTCTTTACTACCCCATCAGGTCCTGCTCGATGCGTCTCTGGCAGAGATTAATGAGGAGAAGATAATGAGCAGAGCTTCACATGATCCGCTGAACGAATGAACCAATCTCCAGAGTTTCCAATTCCCAATAAAAGCAATACGCTCAATTACAGCGCTTATCTGTTACTAACTGATCCTCCTCTCTCAACATGCAATGCAAAGCCTTTTGTTTTACTTCGTTTGCACAATATATCTGCACTCAGAATAGTTTAATATACTCTGTATAATTGAAAACTGTGAGTAAAGTATTAAAATTTCCAACTAAATGGCAACTGTAAACACAATCACAAGTGCTATTAATTACCAGAATCTATACAATCCTCATAAGCCTCCAAACCTCGCTCAGGCCTACATACGTAAATATTCAAAGGAATTTGTATTTTTCTAGAGTGGAATCAAATTTGTAAACTTAAAATGCATTTGCAATGATAATACAAAACGTCTTATATATAATAGAAAATCATCAGATCCTGGTCACATGTTATCTGAATATAATGTTAAATAAATAAATACCTGATTATTTATAAGTGTCTGAATATTTAAAATACTGTACATCTTATTTCCGATTTTGTGTGCAATTCAGATCATTTAAATTAAAATAAAATATATGCAATTAAAATAAAAAATTAATTCTGGTCACATGTTATCTGAATATAATGTTAATTAAATACCTGATTATTAATAATAAGTGTCTGAATGCTCAAAATACTCTACATATTATTTAAATTTTTCTGTCCAATTCAATATAACAAATAAAATAAATGAATAAAAATGTAATTATTAAATTACATTTAATTAAAATAATGTAATAAATATCTGATTATTAATATTAAGTGTCTGAATACTCAAAATGCTGCATATCTTATTTCAAATGTTGTGTCCGATTCAGATCCTTTAAAATGAAATAAAATATAATAAAAATACAATTAAATGACAAAAATAAAATAAAATGGAACCTGGTCATATCTGAATATTCTGCCTTCTGTCTCTAGATTATGTGGATATTATGTGTATCTCAGACAAAAACAAACAATATGCCCTATTGATTATTTGTAGCAGTAATATTTCCTATCCCAAGCAAGTTTGAAGGCTAATTGAAAAAAATAAGCAAATAAACAAATCAAAATGCATGCATATTAAACATTGCTGAAAATCTTAGTTAAATTTATAAATCAGTTACATAAATGCTTTTGCGTTAATAAAACTGTATCTGCACTACATTGTACACTGTAAAAACAATCTGTACAATTTACGGTAAAAATACGGCAGCTGTGGTTGCCGGAATTTTACCGTAAAAACTACGGTAGCAACGTCTTAGCTTTTACGGTTTTAACTTAAATTTACAGTAAGATACCGTAATTTCATGAACTGATATAATGTTAATATACCAACTTACTGAAGTACTGAATGTACTGCCAAATGCAGGAGGTGATGAGAAGGTCACACGATGAACCAAAGCCCATCACAAGCAGCTTTTAGATAATAACATATATAGAAGGTGCACAGCGTCATTCACACAAACACCAAACACCATCACGGTAACACACATCAAACTGAAATAATGCAATAAACATTAATTTAACAGAATTAGGTGTAACACACAACCCTAATATACAAAACTGATAAGAAAAAACTAAGAAGAAACATAGTTATTTCAACAAAAATACATTAAATTTGAAATGTAACGCAGGGAATTCTGGAAATGTCAATTTACGGTTATTCACTGTAAATTATACGGTCTTTTTCACTAACAAAAACGGTATACTACCGTAAAATTTATGTCCAATACATGTAATGTCCAGTACAGTTTTTCACTGTATACAGTAGGGGAAATTACCGTTAACCATTTAACAGGTTTTTACTGTAGCATTTTTACAGTCTTTTACCGTTAAATTCACGGTAATTTTTTATATGTTTCATCCTACAGGCTGTAGCGTGTAATTATATTTGCATGCGTGGAGTTTTCCATAAATATGCCAGAGGCATGTGAAATATCGAGGAGGCGTTCAAAACTTTCTACATAAATGTGGTGAAATACGGCCCGTCTGAAACGTGTTCCCATTATGGAATAACGCCCGTGCGCTGGGCGTCATCCATCACCCGCACAATAAAGGGGGAGTTTCTGGCCCTAATAACTCACGGGCAAAACCCAGAGCTGACAGCCGCCGCCGAAAACAGCAACCCCCGCTCATCCATCAGCGATGATTCATAACAATCAGCACTGGATTAGTACACAATTAATATTCAGAGACAAAATATAATATCTTTGCATGCCATTTTAATCACCAGATATGACATTTATGGTTCCTTCTCTAATTTAATTCATTTTATACCCCTGGGCTTTATGGTTTTTGGAAATATTTGTTGGACGTGTCATCAGAGTGCAGTGATTTTTATTAGGGGCCGGTTAAATTGGTGCAGCAGTGCTCAAGTTTAGTTTATAGCTTGCAGACATATCTAATATGACAGGTTACTGCCTATGAAGTCACCTGACCTGCTTTTAAGCCACCACTCATGTTTAAGTACAAATTCTCCATATATTAATACCAATAAACCTTTTCACTTTTTTTAGTATTCATATTAAATGAATACAGCTTATAAATGTATTTCATATCAATATGTGATTATATAATGATGTGAGTGTTTTTACCTCCTCAATATGGCCAAAGCAAAAGCCCACCAAGGCGACGGCACCTCCCCCGGAGCTGTCAATCACTTCACGCCGCGCTGTGATTGGCCGGCGGCGGAGGCTTTAATCTCGTACGTGAGCCGAGCTCGAAGCGAGTGCGCAACGCGGAACATAAGATGCGCTCCGAGCTCTCCTTGTGCGCTTTCCCCAGCAACAGCCTTTAAGGATTATTCTGTTTTTCCTCTTATTATTCGTTTGGCATTTCGGGAGATACTTTGCGTCCATCTGCAGATGCGTTTCCAGATCCCGCGGAGAGAAGTGGGACATGATCACACTGCCTACGGAGTGCGCTGTGTTTAGTGTGGTTGATCTAGTGTGGGACAAGAAGCGAGACCGTCACCCGTTCCTGCACTCAGTGCCTCCCGCGGACCCGCAGCGCCAGGCGAACCGTCTGCCCGTGAAAGTGTTGAAAATGCTGAGCGTGCGCACCGGACACATCCTGCACCCGGACTATCTGCAGCCGTTACCGTCCACTCCCGTCAGCCCCATCGAGGTAACGTTACAGCTGACACTTTCCGAGGACGCTTCACGTGAAACAACGTCTCAGCGTTCATTTTTCTTCACTCCAATCTTTATATTCAACGCGTATTACAGTGAATGCGCAGCCTTTTCATTTGGAACATGCTCTGATATTTACAAGAGGCTGCATTTAACCATTTATTTAACCCGCAGTATGTTACACTATGTTATGTTACAGTATGTTATGTTTTTTATTTTTATTTTTTTCTTCCAGATCCGATCACAAAACTAGGCTATAATTAAATCGCTTTTTTCAAACGTTTAACATTTCCATATTGAACACAAAAAAAAAAATCGTAAAAAGTATTAATTTATTCTCTAACTAATTTCATGCTTCTTTCATTATAAATTTCCAACTCTTAGAAACTCAAAATGCCTGGACAATTTATATTAATTCCAATTTAATAGTGACGATAAAAGCGCAATGTTAGAGCTCTTTTTGGTGTCTGTGGAATAAGAAAACAAATATTGTGTTTACGCATAAACAATTAGCCTACTATAAACTTAACCATTTCTGAAATTCTCCATGAGGAAGTGCATCACGCAGCTACATTGTGCAACAGAGCTGCCATATGTATTCATATTTTCTTAATCTTAATTTTCTTAATTTATGTACAATTCCGAAAGACAGTTGCTCTGTGAACAAAACCGTACATTTAAAATATTACGATTTTTATCATTTAAAGATGCCGAGAAAAAAAAAACGTAATGTATGGAAATGTGCACAATCTTGAGTCTTGGATGAAAAAATTAAAAACTGTAATGTTTCCTTATATTATATGATAATAATAATAATATCATGTTAATGCTTTCCTTAATGACTGACCTACTTCCAACAATGCAATTATTTTCGCTATAAAGTGAAGGGAAGCAATGCATGTTGCTATATGGAAACACATTTTATTGCATGCACAGAGGGATATAATAAAAACCCTCTTGACATTTGATTTAATGTCTCTGCAGCATTTTAGATTTAAGACTCTCGAGTCATGCTCAATGCCAAAACATAAATAAACACTAAATATTCCCTTTTTTTTAGCATAAAAATGTCTAAAATGCTTGTTGTGGACAGCGTCAATTGCATGATTTCCTCTAGTGTGAATATTTTAAATATTTATATACTTATATACTATATTATATTTATAACATAATTTATTAATATTTTAATTTTATATTATTTTATATAATTTATTTGATAATTTATACTTATTTTATACAATATTTTGAATATGTATATACTTAAAACGGTCTATTTTCACAGCTGGATGCCAAGAAGAGTCCCCTCGCCCTCCTTGCACAAACATGCTCCCAAATCGGGAAGTCAGATCCGCTGTCCTCGACCAAACTCTCGGCAGTCGTCTCAGACAAAGACTGCAAATCCAGCCCACTGAAGATCAGCGACATCGGGGCCGAGGACAAATCTAGTTTCAAGGCATACGCCAAATCGTCAGAGAGAAAAGACACAGGTGGAGATAAATCCTGTTTCCGTGTACCGAGCGCCACCTGCCGGCCGGTCACGCCTCGGACGGGGAGCCCGAGCTCGTGCAGCTCCGTCTCTCCTCAACCCGGACGGCCGGAGTCGGGGGATAAAACAGGGAAGAAGGAACGTGACGCAGCTAAAACGCCGGATACATCCGGGATGAGAACCGAGAGCAACGGCGAGACAAACAAACAGGATGTTTCCAAACCGCCCGCATCCGACAGCATCCCAGTGTCCTCTGCGCCATCCGCTCTGGGATCGGGACTCATCGCACCGGTTTCGCCTTACAGACCGGGCCACACCGTATTCCCCATCTCCCCGGCCGGACTACCCTACCCCGGAGCCCTAACCGGGGCATACGGCGCCTACCCTCAATCCTTCCTATCCCACAGCGTGACTCTGGACCCGAGCAAAACCGGCGGCGGTGGCGGCAGCAGCCAGTTGATTAATGCTCAGCTGTCCAGTGCTCTCAGCAGTAAGGCGGGGTCCAGTCCCCTCGCCGGAGCCTCTCCGCCATCCATCATGTCCAGCAGCCTGTGCAGGGACCCGTTCTGCCTGAGCTACCACTGCGCTAGCCATCTATCATCCAGCGGCTCGCACGACAGCGCCATGGCCTTAAAGTCCGGATACACCCTTATGTATCCCAGCCACTCTCTGCACCCGTTATCGACCTCTACGCCCTCGTTCCCGGGACACCCGTTATACCAGTATGGCTTCGTGCTCCCGAACGAATCCCAGCCGCACCTTTGCAACTGGGTTTCCATGAACGGTCCCTGCGACAAGCGCTTCTCATCCTCGGAGGAGCTTCTGAGCCATTTGCGGACTCACACTGCATTCGCGGGCGCAGATAAGCTTGTTTCGGGATATCCCAACTCGTTAACCATGGCTTGTCATGTGCCAGGAGCCCCGCTGGCACTCAGGACCCCTCATCACGCGCTCGGGCTCGGCACGCGGTATCATCCGTACTCCAAAAGCCCATTACCGACGGGTGGCGTGCCAGTGCAGGTTCCTGCCGCCACCGGCCCGTTTTACTCTCCATACGCTCTTTATGGACAGAGACTGACCACTGTACCTGGGCTCGGATATCAGTGAGGAACGGATTTGCTTAAGTGTTTTTGTTCGCCTCAGGACCTACTAGTGGACCATTATTTATTAAAGTTAGCTTTAAAGCGAATTAAATAAAACAAGACTCACATGGCTTTATTTAAACTGTTACAGACGTAATTCTCAAGCCACACTGTGTGATGTCTTATAGCCAAAATTTGCATGTTTATTTCTAAATTGACTTGAATTATATTTTAAAGTTTGTGGGGGAGAAATGTTTTTACTGTGCAACTCAGGGAAAAACGACAGCAATTAAAGAATAACTCAATTCAGTCTGATTGTTTTGGTGCATCAGTTCGTTGTCTATTTGAGTTTTGAATGCATTGGTTGAGTTAGACACTAAAAACATGATTTCTTATGTGGCGTTTGGCTCGGTTTGTAATCTGCATCACAGTATGTTAACCTCGCAATGAATATAACCTTCAATAATAATAATAATAATAATATAAAACCCCCTGAGGTATATATTAGTAAAATTAATCAACAGATGCATCTGTCACAAACATGAATTAGCATTCTCGAAAAGTTATTCTACATTTCAGCTATTTCAAAAATGTACTTGATTAATGTGTGCAAGTCTAAGCTTTTTTCCTCTTAAAATACTTAAATTTTATTGCCCACAGCAGTTGGAGTTTATGAGCCTGGCTTTTTGCATTACATTTTACACGTGTTAAATAAATCAGGTACTAAAGAAGAATAGCTCTAAGATCTAAAATAAATATAATAGGTATACAGTTTATATAAAAAGGAAAAAAAAACAGGTGATTAATGACGGCCCGCTTTTTCCAAGTCTGCAGAGACTGAAAATTAGCCACAGATTGGAAACAAATACACAAACACACACACACACTTGAACACGTGCACACATGGAAACTCTTAGCAGTGAACACATGTGCAGTGAGTAAGATAAATGAAGTCTCAACAAGCGCTCCACAAACACACGCAGGCCTCCGCCACAGACACACACACTGTAATTTAGAGAGTATTTAAACGCCAGCGACCGGGATGTTCGTGCTTCGGCTCGAAACTGCAGTCCAAGTTCTCCCCGCTGAGGTGTTTAAATCAGCTCTGGCATCGTATCTCAAAGCGTTTCTCAGGGCTGTTTTCGACAGTCACTCCAAAGACAGCACAGCAATATTTCACACAGATGTCTGTTCTCGAGCTCAGATTGATGTGCTGTCGTTCTGAAACGCTTGCATGTGTGTCTTAGCAGAACACTTCAAGACATTCTTCACAGACTAAACGGAACGATTTCATAACTCATGACAATCCCTCTCAGATTCGTTTTAAATCACTCCTTTTTACTTTAGTAAGCATCTTATGCTCCACCAAGGCTGCATTTATTTCATTAAAAATATAGTAAAATTGTGAAATATTATTATGATTTAAAACAGCTGTTTTCTATGTGAATCTGTGTTAAACTGTAATGTATTTCTGTGATGCGCAGCTGTATTTTCAGCATCATTCCTCCAGTCTTCAGTGTCACATGATCTTCAGAAATCAGTATAATATGCTGATTTGCTGCTCGAGAAACATTTCTGATTATTATCAATGTTGAAAACAGTTGTGCTGCACAATATTTCTGTGGAAACTGTGATGCATTTTATTTTTCAGGATTCACAGATGAATAGAAAGTTCAAAAGAACAGCATTTAATTGAAATAGAAATATACTCAAACCACGACTTTCCACAAAAATCATTACGCTTTAGTCTTGTTTTCCAGTAAAATACCTAAATATACATTAAACAAGGTTTATTTACTTGAGAAGCAAAATAATGCAAGATAGAGACTCTTCAGACAATCTATTTGATCTAAGTTTATTTTTCTTCCTCCACAACCTCACTAAATGTTAATTTATGGTTAAGTTAGAAAATAAACTTTCTCTTAACACAAGTCTTAATATCTTTAATTTTATCTTGTATTAAGGTTGTTTAGATAATTGTACTAGAAAACGAGACAAAGATACTGATTAAGATGATTTGTTTTATCACAATTACATTTTTTCAGGAGTCTTTGATGAATAGAAAGTTCAAAAGAACAACATTTATTTAAAATAGAAATCTTTTGATCAATGGATACAATTATTAATTATTATTCTTTTAATTCTGAAATGGTAATTTATGCTTTGGGACTTCTCTGTATGCTGCATCAAAAAAAAATATAAAAGTGATTAGTATTTTTGATTTAGAAAAACTATTTACTCATTTAAAAAAGCACATATAAAAACTAAAATTATTAAAAAATATTTTGTGTTAACTAAAACAAAGCTGAAATAAAAAACTATAGGTGGAAACAAATAAAAATATTAAATGAAAAACAAACTTAAAAATGAAAATTACTAAATTACTAAAAATACTAAACCGGTAATAACAAAATGAAATAAAAATAGAAATGTGTACTAATAAAAAATACAAAAGCACATATAAAAACTAAAACTATTTTAAAAATATTTTGTGTTAACTGAAATAAAGCTGAAATAAAATTTAAAAAAAAATTAATGAAAAAAATGTAAATGAAAAACTTGGAAAGAAAATGAGAAATGTTGTTTGGCAACTAGCTGAACTAAAATAAGATTAAATTACTAAAACTGAAATAAAAATAAAATATAAATATTTAATAATAAAAAAATACAAAAAGCTAATTGAAAATATGAATAAATACTATTATAGTACATAAATAAATAATACTAAAACAAAATTGCAGTAAACTAAATACCATGAAACACTCCAAAGCAACTATAAACTAATGTGACTTCTTTAAATGCCACATCAACAAATGATAAAAGTGATTAGTATTTTACTGTATAAGCATCATTTTACTGTAAAAGGCCATATGCCTTGTTAAATGTGAAATATCTTGCAGTAAATCATAAAGGTAGCCTAATTGCAAAAATGTATTGCTTGTAAATACAATGCTAGTTGAAACACCACGCAAACAATTGTTTTTCCCTTCGGGCCCCATCATAAAAGATGCGTTCATGCACAACTTCAGAGAGAAAAATAATTATTTATTTTAATTTAATAAACACAGATGCTTTGTTCTGCCTCCACTTTATGCTCCAAATGAGAATCCTCCAGCAGGCCTGATCTGAGATCAGAGGAACGCTCTGATGACGGGGTCGAGTTGCACACATGCAAAACGCCTCTGCTCAATGCTGCCTTTATACGGGCTGAAATCACGGCTCCAGCGGCTTAATTACAAATACCAGCCTTCAAATATAATTTTATTTTATTTTGATCTCAAACATTTGGACATGTATACTAAACATATAAAGCATTATAAATTAATATATAATTGATAATATATACATTTTAAAAGTATTAATAAAAGTATTAATTTCTTTCAAATAATATATATATATATATAAATAATTTTTTACAAATTTATATTGATCTCAAACATTTGGACATGTATACTAAACATATAAAGCATCATAAACTAGCATTTTCTGATGTAAATATCCGTGTTTATCAGCAGATGCGTTAAAGTCTGAGTTCAGTTTAGGGACATGTCAGCAAACTCAGCACACAAACGCTTTTCAGGAAGCACAGGCCGCCCAAATATATTAGCTTGAAACACCTTCACATTTCTGGAATTAAAAGTTTCAGATAGCAGACTTTTTAAATGAAATGCTCTACAAAATAACGTTTGAGTGCACGTTAATTTATAATGAAAATAAAACTGGATTATGGATGGTGCGCTTTATTTCTGCCTCTGGTGATTTATTATTTCTGAAAAACAAGCTCCTGCAAGTCATCATGAGCAGCAGAATGTGCTTCAGTCACATGCATTACAGTACAGCGCCACCTGCTGGTGAATATCAGCCTCTCTAAACACAACGATACTGCAAAATCACTTTCTATATAAACTATCAGTTATAAAGCAATGCTCTGAGTAAATATTCTCAAAGCTGACAGCAAATAAACTGCTATCCTGAAAAGTTTCATTAAATGTGGACTTTAGTTTGGATATGTTATTATGAAACCATGAGCCGGTTATATAACCCGCACCTCATCTGCAGCCAACAAATATCTGAAAAAGTCACTAAACCAACAGCTTTGATTTATACGCCAAAATAAATCACAGCTTCAAGGTTGCCTAGAATACATTAAAGCTTTATAAACATGCACAAGTTGAATAGAGCCAGTGGCATTACGAACATTAATAACAAGAACTTTTTAACAAGTAGATCAAATTAAATGCTTAAAAATTTAAATAATTAATTTTTTTTATTTGTAGACCAATTTAAATTGTAAAATTTAATGCCTGGCTATACAAACATATTAATAGGCTATTCAATATTTAAAAAGGTTTTACATTAAAATGCAATAATAAACGCTTATAGGCTCAGCGACGCTGGGAGTGATTTTTACAGCGGGATATTTTGTGGGTGAGTGCCGAAAGCGGGAACCCCGGGAAATACAGGGAAGTGACCCGTTTCTCTTCCGGAAGTTCGTGTAGTTTGATACAACAAGCCGCAACTAATACATAAAATACACACACATACACACATATACGCACACACACACACACACACACACACACACACACACACACACACACA